GCGTCGACACCTCAAATGTAGGCCGGAATCTATTTGAATGTTCAGGATTGAAGGGCGTTTAATTTAAGAAAGTTCGTTGGATAGATAAAGAATATTTTGAACACTGAATTTTAACCCGCACTCTAGCGTACTGGCATATTGTATAAAATTAACACCCTCAGTGGAAAAGCAAGAATATGATGCATTTCTTATTTATCATTAGAATCAGTCAGTATGGTTAAATCGTTTGTTTACTGTCGCCTCGCAGATACATGCTTTCCTGAAACATGATCAGACTTAAAATTGGAGTATCGTCATCAGTTTCCCAATGAAACTCGTTCGACTTTCGATCCTTTGCCTCTAAGGCACTATTTGGTACGAGTTAGCATGACTTTGTAGGTTAAACAGTTCAAATTGTTTTGCATGTCCTCGAGCACGAAAAGTTTTTGGGATGGTTAATGATCTTAACAATCTGTATTCAAAATTCAATCTACCCAGTTGATTAACAAAAATGGGTGCCACCTCAGTTTCCAACAATCATTGACGTTCTTTACTACGTTAGTGAGAGAAAAGGCTCTTCTTTTCGCTCCAGCTTGTCACAGAGGTGTGAATCGAGAGGATGTACATGCACAAGTTCTGAATCTTATGAGGCGAAGGCATAACTCCAGAAAATATTAATCCTCGATATGTTTAATAACCAATGAATCTAAGATGGCTTAATTATTAATGAAAGACAATCTTTTAACTACCTGGAAGCAAATCTTTAGGGAAAAGCATTTTCTTTTTCGAATTCAGCGAAGGTGCCTCAGTTACAAAAAAGCTGCCAGCGTAGTTTAAGAAGAGTGCTAGAATTGATCTAGAGTTGATGAGGAGAAGAATTACAAGGCTGGCATTGCCCAATAATACTATCGACAATGCCATATTGCTGCATTATTGATGAAAAACTTTAGCTTTGCTGGCAATATTGATAACAAGAAGACATTTCTCACCTCGATGAGAACTGAGAAGTATATTCAAGTGGAGTATCAATCCTCTACTTAAAAGTTGTTATGGGCTTTTTACTCCCATTTCACAGTTCTCTTCCTTGACAAAGAAAATTTCAAAGGGCGTAGTCAACTTTTAAAGTATGAAGTAGGTAAGTGTTTTGTAAGAAGTAGAATGAGAAGTAGGACGACGCCGAAAAGGAATAGAAGATCCGAACACCTCCGGAGCTGCAAACGCTTTATTGCGTTAGCGTCGGCACCTCGAATGTAGGCCGGAATCTATTTGAATGTTCAGGATTGAAGGGTTTTTAATTTAACAAAGTTCGTTGGATAGGATAAAGAATATTTTGAACCCGCACTCTTGCTTACTGACATATTGTATAAAATTAACACTATCTGTTAAAAAGCAACAATATGATGCATTTCTTATTTATCATTAGGATCAAGCAGTAGGATTAAGTCGCTGTATGCCAATTGGTTGAAACACAAGCTAAAACAACCCGTTTGACGATGATGTCAAATTTCCATGGGTTACTAGTTTAAGAAAGGGTTATAGGCGATAGGCGAACACTCTGCTTCTCAGTATATTTGACAAACAGCCAGGAAAAGACGAGTCGCCTTGGAGAAAGAGGCACAGAGATATGTAGCTTGAGAACAAGTAACGCTCCTTTTGTTTCATTTGGTATATCTTATACTGCGTCCAACTCAAACAAGTTGAAAGTTTTTGCACAAAAATCGATGATTGTGAACCCGTTTGAAACTAAAGCAGCTTTTCAGCACAATTCATCCTTCAGGAAGACCAAGGCACTATCACAATCCTTATCTAAAAGAGGTAATAATTGTATCGTAAGGAAAACGATTCTGATGAAAAATGGCGTTTCAACAGTTTCGGAATGATGACATCTTGAACGTGCCATTTATGTGTTGACATGTCAGTGGAAATTTCTGAAATTGTAGTTCACTGCAAGGGTCATTTCTTTTCCTCAATTTCGTCCGTAGGAATGAATATTACGTATTCAGTCATATTATCAGATCCCTTCCACGCGCGGCCATGTAATATCCTTTATATGTAAAACTCGTTATTACTTATAATTATTAAAGAAAAGATACATATGGATGTTAGCGACATGTTATAACTTTACAGTATCATTATTACTGAATAACTGAACATGTACATGTCCTTTGCTTACAGATTTTCAGTCGCCATGGAAATTTGTCTTTATGCCCTGTTCGTCATATTGGGCCTACCCATAACATTTACCGGCCAGCCTGCGTGCCGGGACAACCAAGAGGAGTTTGGTTTTGCCTTGGTTGGGCATGACTACAAAAGTGTGTACGCTGACCATTTCAGCCGCTGCTATTTTGAGTGCACTTCAGAGGAGAGATGTCAAAGTGTGACGTATCTCTGGGATCAAAAGGAATGTAAAATGAACAACGAGACAAAGAAGTCAAGACCTGAGGATTATGTGCAAAATCCAGCGGCTACCTATATGGAGAATACCTTCCGAGGTATTGTTAACCAGGAACATTTTCCAGTTATGTCTGTAAGCCATTTTGGAAGGGAGGGGACTGTAAGTTTTACCTTTGCTCGTTGACTCCTTCGCTTCTTGCATGAGCTCAGTTAAGATAAAGCTATATTCTCTCTGACAGAAGACTGCTTACTTATTTTCTCTACAGCAAAGAAAGGCTCGAAATCCTCGATCCCAGGTCATTCTTGCCGAGAAATCGTATTAAGCGATAACTCCCAGGGGGATGGTGAGTACTGGATCGACCCAACAGCTTCAGGGAGACCCTTCACAGTGTTCTGTGACATGACGACTGACGAAGGTAAAAAAAAGAAAACTTACATAATTTGATAAATAACAAATTACATTTTAGATAGACGTGGCTTTTCGTTTGCTGGGCTGCCAACATTAACCTTTACATACTTGAGAACTGCCTCTTTTATTAAGTTATACTCATACATAATGAAGGGCCTGTATCTAACATTCAGAAAAAATATCTTAAGAGCATAAATATACAAAATTTCTTTACATGAAAAGCTCTTCGTTTTGATGAGCGCGGATGTCCCAGATGAAAAAAGTACCATGTACTTATGCTTGCGATCTTTCATTGGGCACAATTTGGGCTGCAAAATGAAGTTACCTCCCCTTAATTGGGATCCTCTCTACATCTTCAAATCTTCATCACTCTGCATGCAACTCGTATCTTCCCAGGAAAGACTAGAAAAAATGGCGCTCTTTTTTTGGTTCGACGATAAAAACGTACGCAGCTAGAAAAACAATGCTCTAAAGTCTTGAAAAACTCCTCAGTCCCTTGACTTTCCGAAGATTACCTTAAGATTTTTCTTGTTCTGTGAAGTAAATGGCAATGTTCTGTTATGTTGTGCCCAACCACCTCTGTCATGCATTGCAAGCTTTAGTGGAAGCCCTAGGGACTTCTTCTGTCATGCATTGTAAGCGTAGTTGAAGCTCTAGCTTCTAAATTAACCCTTTTCAAGTTACTGACTGTTCGCCGTGATTCCCCCTCTTCACAGGTGGATGGACTCTCGTCCATCGCTTTACCATGAGAGATCCCAGTTCTTCAGATGATTCTACTTACGAATCCAACTCCTATCAAGAGATTCTACCCAAATACAATCTCAATCATCAGTTCCTGTTGAGGCATGGCTTTAGCAAGTTAAAAACTGACATGGGTTTCACTCAGATCCGGTTTTACTGCTTTAAAAAGAAGCCAGGATCAGTATTCCATATCACGACAAGCAAGAACATAAAGGGAACTGCAGTGGTGGACTTTTTCACAGTATCTGATACTATGCCTGAGGCGTGTGGATCTTTTACTCGCTTTTCAGACGATAACTCAACCTTAGCCTCTATTTGTGATGAATGGGGCCACCCGAGTAACAATCGATGGGGACATAGATCTTACCGAACGGATGAGCGCCTCTTTAAGAGACCGCTTTTCCGCAAAGGGACTAATAGCAATAACATGAATTTCATTTTTTTCCGAGTATCGGGGGGCTTTCCCTATTGTTGTGATGACAGTGACATGGAGGCATCTTTGGGTGATACATGGAAGATATTTGTACGATAATATGAAAAACACTGGGCTAAGTTCACGAGCTTTAGCCGCTTTTCACTTACTGCAGTGACCAAGACTTGCTTTCCTCCTACAATACCAAGCAGATGGGGACATAGAAACGTATAAATTAGGAGATTCTTATTTGATCCAATACTAAATTCTCAGAACTTGTTATAAGCAATGAATGGCAGAAGTTTGCAGCCTACCTTTATTACTGCTGTATGCATTCTTATAAAATAATTAACCTCACACACAGATTTTGACTATGCCATTTCCAAAGTAGTCATCAACAACAAATAAAATACTAAACCAGGTAAAGTAAATTAAAGCAACTCCCTCTTGTATTCATACATTTTCAAGCGAACAGATATTGAGAAGACTCAAGCCTAACAGGTAGAGGTTGTTACCTAGATCTAACACCAAATTCTCCTAACTTATTTCAAAGGAAGTCTGTAGCAAAAAGAGGGTAGAATTAACAATCAGATCTTGGGAGTTTACCCTTCAACTCCCACAAGTGGTGAACCTCTGCCTATGATATCCATATGTTTTTCAGCTAATGGTTAAACTGAAACGTATTAGGAGGAAATTGTTATCTAGATATTACACCAAATTCACTTAACTAATTTAAAAGGAATTATGTGGCAGCACAAAGAGAGGATTAACAATCAGATCTTGGGAGTTTAAGAATTTAATGTAAAAGTGGGTTAAGGAAATAAAATTACAATTCAGTTTGTTTGCTGTTCTTTGTATGATCCTTAAAATATCATGGTTGCCCTCTGGGTATATATCTTTTCCAATTTTACCATGTTCAAGGGTCACATATTCATCAATGTATCTTAACACAAAATGCTACGCAGCCACATCGATCAAATAAATACTATAACACATGGAAAGCCACTTCTGATTTTTGTTAGTTGGCAAAATATTCTCTGCGGATACACAGACAAAACAACAAAATCCAGAGAAAAGAGACTTTTATTGACAATTTAATGCTGTTGTTGTTGTTGTTTTCTCATTGCAGCAATGACGCCTTGCATTTCTTCACGCTTTCTCTTTCCTCGGGTGTGGGTTCCCAGCTACAATGACATTTGAAATAACACTTGGTTAGAGAGTTGATCAAATCAATTCATGTCAAAAATGTTAAACAGCCAATAATTACCCTCTTCTTGACAAATTTCAAGGCCCTTTTATCTTTGCCTATCCTGAGCAACTCCATGCAACGTTTCTCATAAGGTGTAAATCCAACAACTTCACGCACAAGATCGCGGATGAATTTGACCCTTTTGTTACCAGCCTGGAAAAAAACAAGAAAGAAAAGTTTATAGATCACCAAGAGTCTTCATCTTTTTATCCTTACTGTTATAGGAAGTAGAAAGGAAAACACATCCACAAGACAGAACACAGTTTCTACCCAAAAGCACTCAGTTATAAGATTGGGGAAGTTTGAGAAAAATTGTCCCTTAAAATTCTCCTTCTGGACTATTTTAGAGCACTTCACAGCTCCCAAGAACAAGCCTAAATAAGTGCACAGCTATAGCAAAGAACCAGTAACCGGCCAAAACTGAAAGCAAGTATGCCACCTTCAGCAGCCTACTCACACATGTTCCACAAACATTGCTGATAAACAGTCATGCAGCTATTCAATTTCCATTGCCAGATTCTGTAGCACAGCCATTCCCAAGTGCGAGTGGAATTGGAATTAAAGACATATGATAACTCTATCATTAAACATTCTCCCTTAATTAGTAATAGTTGTTTGTATACAATGGTGACAAAGTAATTAAATGTTCAGTGTCTGATCTAGAGCATGCCATTGCAGGATTGCCACAGTTTGATGTAAACACTTGGGAGGTTGGGAGAACACTCAATAAGCTGGAAACCACTCCGCTTTGCGTCGTGGTGGAAATCCTGGATCAGACACTGTATGTGACATAGTTTCACTGAATGTTCAGGCATTTTCTGTCCTTGAAATGCAAAAAAACAAGCAAACAGTTGCTAATTGTTCACTACAGGAAGAGAGTGAGGGAAAAGTTTGTTACCATCCTTTAAGTTTGTTTTGAGTACAGTACTGGAAGAAGAAGATTTTCCTCGTTCAAGGTTAAATGAACCAACAACAAGCACATACGATTATTAGTTATTTTTTAAAAGAAATGTAAAATGGTTTCTGTGTTCTCCCAACCTCCCACGTGTTTACATCAGGCTATGTAAACACGGAAACCATTTAACATTTCTTCAATATCATACTCAATAACAATACTAGCATTGGAGCAGAGGTTTGCTTTTACTCAGAACTTAGAATTAGAGAGGAACAACATCTCACTCTTTCACTGAGATCATACAGTGCACCTCACCACTATTCAGGCTATGTAAAGAAGCCATCATACAGATCTTCTGAAGCTGATGTTTCTAACGTTAGCCCTTCGTGAGAGCTGTGACAAAGGGCTAACGCTCGAAACGTCAACTTCAGTAACTTTTTAAGGTGGCCAATTTAAATTATCAACTCAGTTGATAAAACTTAATTGTCTTGTTACACCCTCCAACGATGCAGCACCACAGTTAAAAGAATAATAGGAAAAAAACTTACTCCTTTTCTTCTGGATGGTTTCGGTTTCTGCACTGTTTTCGTGGTTTTGTGACCCTTGTGGAGTCCTACCGCCATTTCTAGGTTACGAGCCATGGTTTCTTCTCTGTTCGATTAATATTTGGATAAATTTTTAGTTTGAAATGCGATAATCAACGATAAAAGTTTACCAAATTCAACATTCAAGCTGTTTCAACCTTATGTCCCACATAAATTTGAAGCCTGTGATCAAACAACTTCGCCCAAACTTTCATTACACAGACGTAAGATGCCATGAGAAGTCAGATCGACTTGAATTTTAGAAAAAAAAAGGAAAATAATCTGTCTCAGAAACTTAGAAATAGCATTTTTATTTGTTACATGTAAAAGTCTATAATATTTCTCAAGGATGGCAAAGATGAAAGTCGATATATTACCTCGTTCGAAGAACACAACAATGATCGAAACGAAAGGGTAGAAGAGGAAGAGCCAGCGGTAATCAAGACTATATGATAGCGGTGAAGTTTTGAAAAAAGGCGTGCGCTGGCACTCGGGCGCGATAGAGATCTGGAGCCGAGATACCAACGTGTCTCCTTTCGTGAGGAAATTCAACGCTTCTTTTAGTGATTAGCCTTTATTTCTCCGTTCTAATCTCCTATGATTATGGATCCTTTTCTCCAGAAGGCTGCAGAAGTTAGTAAGAAACATCCAAAACCTGACATGAAATTCAGTTATGGAACCGCAGGGTTTCGTACGCTAGCTGACAATCTGGACTCTGTGATGTTTCGCATGGGCTTGCTAGCAGTTCTGCGTTCAAAGGCCAAAGATGGACAAGTAATCGGCGTGGTCGTCACTGCTTCTCATAACCCAGAGCACGATAATGGCGTGAAACTTGTAGATCCTTTTGGCGAGATGCTACAGCCATCTTGGGAGAGACATGCATCGGAACTTGCCAATGCTGAAGATGTGGCTGAAGTCCTGAGGGGGGTAGTCACAGAACACGGTATCGATTGGAATGTCCCAGCTAAAGTTTTCATCGCAAGAGACACCAGACCGAGTGGTAAACAGTTCGTGCAGGCTCTAGCGGAAGGAATTGAAGCTTTGGGTGGATCGTATCAGGATTACGGTAAGGAGATAATTTTTCCTTTGGGGGAGGAGGGGTTGAATACCGAACGGAAGTAAAGAGCCGAGCTCAATCTTTCGGCCATATCCTTAGTTCAACCGGTAAGATGTATTCTCTATCCAAGTTTAGTGAGAGTTCTCGTTTGTAAGTTAGAACTCTAGAAAGATTGTAATTCCTGTCTCCAATACTAACCAAATTGGACGACCTCTGAGCGCCGGGGAGTCTAGGAATGTTAAACTGTGGTGATATTGTTTAGAAATACTAATATTATCATGTGAAGGTGGCCAGAAATATATGCAAAGCTGCTGAATAACTTACAAGGGTGTCTTTTATGAGAGCTTTGATTGAAGGATAAAGTGGTTTATTTGGACAATAATTGGTATAAGTGACATGGTTGCAGTGAAACTTGTATGAACACCCTTAACCTTTAAACTTGCAAGATCTGATTGTTAATTCTCCCCTCTACCTGCTTCACATTTTCATGTAAATCAGTTACGAGAGTTTGGTACTAGATCAATAAAACAACTTGTACATGATAAGTTAAATATTCTCATTGCCTGTTTGTTGGATAATGTATGAATATTAAAGGGAGAAGTTACATTTTAATAACTTCTGGGAGTTAAAGGGTTAAGACTCTAGCTGGTGTGACCTAATGCAATGTGTCTTCTCTTTACAGTTCTAGCAAACTGTGCTGCAGTAGTTTATTCTTAACTCTCAGGTAGAAAAGAAAAATCTGTGAACATCCCCGCATATCTGTTTTTCTTTTTGGCGGATAAACTAACACTTTGTTTTATACACCTGAATAAAAGTTAACAATGTGATCTTTAACTGTAAAGGGGGTAAGTTTGTAAAGAAACTGTGTTGCTGCATCGGTGGGAGACTAACACGGTAATTTGGTGTTATCAACTAGGTTGAAGACTTTAATTGGCCACTGTAAAGAGTTTCAAAGCTGACATTTTGAGCATTAGCCCTTTGTCATAGTGAAAGACTAAAGGGCTAACGCTTGAAACACGAGTTTTGAAATCATTCATAGTGGCCAATTTATATTATCAACTCAGTCAATAATACTTAATTACCCTGTTTATCTTAAACTGTAATGGGATGAACACGAAACTCAAATTTCTTACCAACTGATGCAGATTTCCTGTATTAAAGTCCTTTTGGCACCCTTATTAGCTTAACACTTTCATTCCCAAGACCTCATTAGTAATTCCCCTCACTGTCTGCCATATGATTTCTATGATGTTAGTTGGGTGAGTTAGGTATTAGTTCAACTAATAATCCTTTAATTAATATCTTTCCTCTTATCACTTGTCTGGTTGATTTTATGTTGACAATGTGAAAAGTATTTTTTGTTTTGGTCACTTTTGGGAGTTTAAGGGTTTCACTGATGTATTAAAGTTGTAGCGCCTTACAGTGTTAATGTATCTATATCTGTGTTAACCCTTTACATCCTAACATCAGTATCTGTATTCCCCAGTTGTTCTTTACTCATTTCTCAAGGTGCTGACAAGGAAAATTTGTTGAACAATCAAGAACTTTTTTGTTAGTGATCATTTCTTTTATTCTCTTGTCCTTTAAAGTTTAATTCAGGGGTAATATTGTAAGGAGAAACTACATGTTAATCACTCGAAGGGGTCTAAAGGTTACAATGTTGTTTTGAACCTTGAAATTTAAATTGTGAAATATAATTTTTTGTAGGTGTTTTGTCAACCCCTCAGTTGCATTACATGGTGAGATGTGCCAATACAGCCGGTGAATATGGCGAGGCCACAGAAGAGGGATATTACAAGAAGATCTCCAAGGCTTTCCTTCATCTGCGTTCACTATCAGGCAAAACTGATGTACCAGTTATTAAGCTGGATGGTGCAAATGGAGTAGGAGCTCTAAAAATCAAAGAAATGGCCCAGCACCTGAATGATACCCTCTCCATTTGGGTGTGTAATGATGGATCAACTGGAAAGCTCAACGAAAAGTGTGGTGCTGATTTTGTCAAGCTTCATCAACGTGCTCCTGAAGGAATGGTTATAACCCCAGGTGATCGTTGTGTCACATTCGATGGCGATGCCGATCGAGTCCTGTATTTTTATTTCAACAAAGAAAATAAATTTTGTTTGTTAGATGGAGATAGAATTGCCACCTTGATGGTGGGTTACCTGAAAGACAAACTTGATAAAACAGGAGTGACACTCGAAAGAGGTTTAGGAATAGTCCAGACAGCTTATGCCAATGGTAGCTCAACATCCTATGCCGAGAGCACCCTTGGTGTTCCTGTAGCTTGTGCAAAGACAGGAGTGAAGCATGTTCACCACAAAGCTGAAGAATTTGATATTGGAGTCTACTTTGAAGCAAATGGCCATGGAACTGTGCTGTTTACAAAGGATGTTGTGGCCAAGATGAAGGCTATTGTTCAAGACACTGATGCTGGCACCGAGAAGCACAAAGCAGCTGAAAAGTTTTTAAGCATGGTAGATCTTATCAACCAAACTGTGGGTGATGCCATGAGTGACATGTTAGTGGTTGAAACCATCCTTTATGAAAAGGGGTGGAGCTTGGAGGACTGGGGAGCCGCATACACAGACCTCCCCAATAGGCAACGCAAAGTCACCATCAAGGATCGCACAGTCATTAAAACAACAGATTCTGAGAGGAAGACTACAGCTCCAGAGGGGCTTCAAGAAGAAATTGATAAGCTTGTTGCCGGGTATAAAAGTGCAAGGTCCTTTGTGCGACCCTCTGGTACTGAGGATGTTGTCCGTGTTTATGCAGAGGCAGACACAAGAGAAGCAGTGGATTCTTTGGCACGAGAAGTCTCTCAGATAGTTTATGATTTAGCTGGTGGTATTGGAGAGAGACCTTAATAGCACTGAACAGAAGTTTGTTTAATTTCACCTGCTGCAAAAGCAGCTGTTTTTCATACTTTTCCTCAGGTTTCAGATCTAAGAATATCCACTGTTAATAAAGTTTGTAGGTAGGGTACTTACAACTTCAGAATGAACTAATATATTTTGAATATACTGAAAACTAATTCATTTCCCTGTAATTGTCATCAAAATGATGTTGTCAGAGGGTATAAACCAAAGATTTGCCACCTTAAAATTTTTTTTTTTTTCATTGACTAACTATCAAGACACATGTATATTCTGCATTTGCAAGTTAGGAAATTAATAGATAAATTTGGAAGTAGAGTATTATGGGCAATACTGTGTTGTTGCATTTTAATGTGTATAATTTTTTGAAGGAAAACTGGTAACTAGGGTATGGGTTGGGAACTAAGAAAATATATTCATGCAATACATTGAAAATGCAAGACTTCTTTGTCTGTTTAAGAACTGGAAACAGCAGTTACCCATCATCCTTTTTCTCCATAATGAGGAGAAACTGGGATGACTGTGGTTATCCCATAGACAGCAAAGGTCTTTAGTGCTTTTCTCTCTGAGATGTTTCTGATAATGCATTTCATATCAGCTCATCTTTCAACATCTCCTTCAATACCAATAACCAAGGAGATGCTCTTTCTTTTGACTGCAGTATCAGTATGGTTATCCTCCACTTTGCATTCTATACCGACATGAATTTTAGCTACAGTATGATAGGAAAATTTGTCAGACAATCGAAGTCTCCATCATTCTCATAACCTTAATGTTAAATTCAGCAATGACAATGTTGAAAAATAGGATGCTAGTCACCCTTGAAGGTGACTAGCATATAATCTGTGATTTCATACTGTACGTGTAAGATTGATTCATCTGAATAATGCAAATAAAGGTGAAGTTTAAGTTGGTGTCTTAAAGAAATTTCTCAGCACATTTTGGGAGCACAATTCTTTATTTTGTGAGGCAGGCACTTGAATTGTTATAGAAGTATTTTAACACTTAGTCTAACTATTATAACACTCTAGCTGTTAAGGAACTGCCATAGGTACGCATTTCAGTCTAAGTCCCATATTGACTGGTTCATGGTCATTTAAAATTTTTTAAGGAACATCTGTTTTATGGTCGACACCTTCCAGTAAAGCGTGGGTACAGACAGACATCTCTGATATGCTGTCTGTTCAGCAGCCATGTGAGGAATCGCTCCAGTCCCAAACCATATCCACCATGTGGGCAAGAACCATATTTCCTCTGAGAGTAACAACACAAAAAAGAGGACGCATTTATTTGTGAATTTGATCATCAAAATTGGGTGAAAACAAAAGGAATGATTTTGGTAAATATTATTGGTGAAGTCCATATATCAATTTGTAACATGACAGATACTGTGAGAACCCTGATTGGTCTAAAAACATTTTTTTTTCCATCTGTAATCCCACAGAGCCTCCAGCTCATGAGTTGCAAACTGTTCTCATGTTCTACCAAACTAAGTGGGTTATTACACCAAGAGAAAGTGCAGTTTATTGCCTAAATAGTCTTGATTAATATTTCCAGAGCCTTGTGTTGGAGCCCATTGCTTTACTATACAGAGAGACTTCCAATTAAGTTTTGAAAGTAATTCCAGATACTGTACAAGTAACATTTGCTTTACTTCACTACCCCTCCATGATTGCTCCAGAAAACTCATGCCAGATTTTTGCTGTTTTTATATTACTTCAGTTTTGTTTTCACAACACTTGTACAAGATGCACTTTATCTTTAAATACCACAATGAAGAAAAATTCCGATGAAAGCTAATTCTTTAGATATTCACCAACATGTAAGCAGTCTTTTCTTCTTTAGTTATTTGTGAGAATAACTGTGAGTGTGTATTAGATTAAAACAATATTTTCAGATAGAGAACTTTATAACCCTCCATTTCCTGGACAGTGTGTTATTATTGCACAAGGTATTTTTGCACTTTTTTCACCCCTAAAAGTAAAAAGGTTAAAACTGGTCCTTGAACTCAGCTCTACTCAAACTCTACTTCCATTTTTACCCAATCCCAAAGAAAAGTGTCCTAAACAAGTGACCAGTAATCATTAATAAAACACACTGCAAAAAAATTTGCCCTTAAACCTTAAGTAAGTCAGTAGGAAAGACATACCTGGTCAGTGTACCAGTAGTAAGGGCTGGGGTCAATACCCTCTCTCTTGTAACCCTCCAGCAGCTCCTCCTAAACAAATCAAAGGTATAAACATCAATTCAGGAACAGGGTAATGTGCCAATCAATTTGAAGCTTAAACACCCTGCCCACTCCCCCCCCTCCCCAAACAACTGACAGGCATTCTACTGTTGTCTGTCCTGGTAGGTGGGGGATTTGAACCTTATCTGGCTGAGGTGGGGGATTTGAACTGGAAATGTCAAGTCTTTCTGGTGGAATACAAGTATTTTACCTAAATATGGAGGTGTCCAAAGGTAAAGATTTCTCCTTCCCAAGTGGAGTGGCTCAGAAGATTGTTACTATTTGCCTTTCGCAAAAAAATTGGCCACCAAATCCACACACAATGTTGGCCCCTGGGATGGTGGTTGAGGGAGGGGGGGATATGTTGAAGCTTTGAAGTAATCAATTAATTTAGTATTAACCCTTTTAACTCTGAAGATCTAATAGTTAATTCTCCCCTATCACTTATGTTATTAGATATGAGAATTTGGTGTTAAATCAAGATAACAATTATTCCCTTATAAGTTTGAGTATTCTTGTTGACTGTTTGCTGGATAATGTATGAAAACCATAGGGAGACTTAGGTTATTGCACATTTGCTTCAAGTTGTTAAACTAAAACATTATTAATTATTGGGAATGTTTGTGCTAAATTTATGTCTTGAAAGGTTAAGTGTTCAATGGTGGAGAAATGCTCACTCAGTTTCTCACTTGTTTTTAGCTAAATGGAAGATCTCTTATCCGTAGGCCCAATTTTTTTGGGGGGGAGTCACTGATGCAAGGATCATGGTATCAGGACGCTGCACCAAACTACACTAAAATTGTAAGGAACACAAATATGTCATCCTTTCCAAATACTTACATATTCCCACATCCTCATGGATCCTCCAACAATTTCACCAACTCCAGGCATCAGGAGATCAACCTAAGTTTAACATGCACACTTTTAATGATGAGCAAGGCATGGATGCCCATAAGCAGGATGCAACCTTTGTGGTCACATTTTCCAAAACTACATGTACATGTAGATATGACGAATATTTTATTAACCTTTACGTTGTCAAAAAAGGTAGTAGATGCTGTAGGAAATCTAAAGTGACTGACACACTCCACTACCTCTCAATCTTGGTTTTTGTTTTGTTGTGGTTGTTTTTACTTTCAATGCATTCCTATTAATTTGTTACTAACATTGACAAAAAGGGAGACAAAAAAAAATGTTTGAACAATTTTGACTAAGATAACGGATTATAGCCATGACAACTCTGCATTTGTAGAACTTGGCTTACAGGCTTTCAAAAAACCTTGTGTACTTACTGATTCAGTCAGACCCTTGTCCTCTGGACATCTGTACATGTAGAAAGACTTAATGTTGGTAGGAAAGCGACACAGCAGGATTGGCTAAAACAAAAATGACAACAAAATTAAAACCCCTTACATCCTAACATCAGTATACATATTCTCCACACTTTTCTATGTGCTACAATCATGGGGTACTGACCAGGAGAAATTTCTGGGCAATCAAGACCTACTTAAGTTAGCCATTGTTTTCTTATTCTCAAAACCCTAAGTGTTTGATTCAATGGTGATACTGTGAGGAGAAATTAGACACCAATCAATCTTAAGAGTAAATTAAAGGGTTATACAAAAAAAATTATCATGATGGTAACTATTCGGAGTTTATGAATGACTGAATGACTGATTTACCTCATTGATCTGGTCTGTCATCTTCCTTTCTGGCATCTCAGGAATGTCCTTAACAAGGAGACCCAAGAAGATTATCACTAACAGAGTACATTCCACTCTAAAACATTTTTAACCTAAGTTAAAGGACTCTATTATCAGGCACCTCTGAGAATTTAAAGCAGTATCCACATTGAAAAAAAATTTTGAAACTCTATGAGGTGGATCCTCAGAACTGTTGACATATCAACTTGAAATCGATATCAAATGTCTATATTTTTACTCAGCAATCTACTGAAATTGCACACCTCTCCAAATTCATAATAGGTGCCATCTTCCTTTTTAATGTCATGTTCTTTCAGGTATTTGATGGCATCACTGTAGTTCATTCTCCTAATAAAAAAAAATGTAAGTTATAATATATATAAGTATTACCCAATAAAGAAGAAAAATTATTTGGAATTTTAAAAAACTGAAATCCAAATTCAATCCAAAACAACTGATAACTCTTTTTGAAACAATCTAAATATATTCATGCAGTGCTCAATGGACTTACCTGAATGGTCTCTTGGGTGGCTTAAAATCCTGAAGGAACACAAAAGATTTCACATGTAAGTTAAAAGTCCTTGGGATAATCAGGCTACCTTATAGGCACTAATTGTTATCTTAACATACAAATATTTTGATAAACCCTCCATCTGTTTTTCTTCTGCCTTGCACATTAGAGCTAAATTGTTAACATAAATGATAATAATTGCCAAAAAAAAATTATTATTTTTTAATTAGTAAATGATGATTATTAATAGTAACTGAATTATAATCATTGTTATTTATTTTTTATTTATTTGACTTGTACTGAGTACATAACTTATAAATATGATAAATAATAGTTAGATGACAAAAATAATAGTTAGATGACAGAGTAAAGTAAATTGGAATAAAATAGATAATTCACTAAAATATCAAAATATATGTATACAATATAAGAATTTACATGTAAAATATATATATCAATTCTTATTTAAACTACTAAAATCAACACTGACAAAAACTGCTTAAATTCCTAATGGAATAGCACTTAGGACACAATGATTTCCAAGTATAAACATTATCCTGATCAAACGTTTCAGTAAGTGCTTTTTTATAAGTTAGTAATGACTTTGTACCTTTTCTATCTAATAACAAATTTTATTGTGTTACTTAAGCAGGATCAGTTTCTGCGGTTTTCTAAAGATTTCTTGCCTGTACTTACTGGATTAAATTCTTTGAGTATGTCTGCATGGGGAGATTTCAGCACTCTATCCACAACATCACATACCTGAAAGAACAAATAGAAGTACAAAAATTAATTGATGGCCTCAGTTTACATAACATTGTAATAAAATATGACACTTGGATGATAAGTAATCAGAAAGCCAAACCAATAAACAGATCAAGTGTGCTTTCATACCAAATCTTCAATTCTGTCCAGGAGATCATCAAATGATATAAAAGGACATTCAGCTTCCACATGAGTGTATCTGCAAAGTGAAGAAATAATTATAATTGCTTTTTGACATGAAAATGCACTTTTAATCTAAAGTTGTTAGTTAGTTGTTCTACTTACTCTATAATTCAACTTCCAACACTTTGTACAGTAATTAACTGAAGATGACAGAAGTTTCTGTTGAAACATGTTTTACAGACTCAAAAGTTTTGTCGCTTTCTTTAAATTCTTGACTTGCCTGCTAATATCAAGGCAATTTTAATCATTTAAAATCATGTAGCCTGGCATCATGTTTACACAATGAAAGCTGAAATTCTGGACTAGCTACCTTACACGCAATTTCCTACATTTCCAAGAATCAAGGAGTGGGAACC